TAAATTAATCAGGAAAAGGAAAAAAGATAAAAATCGCCTGGATTATTTTTGAAGATTAGATTATTCAATAAACGACATATATAAGGCCACTCGTAACGAGTAGCAATGATCCAAAATCATTCAGAATAAAACATGCAGTATGGCAATTAATTTCAGGGTGCTTGATGCTGTTGACGTTTTTGCCACTCACTCAGATCAGAACAATCGAATGAATCCAGATAGTTGTGTGGTCACCATTGAACGACCCATCTAAAATTACCTTATGATTGCAGAAAACTTATAGCTGAAACTCGCTGTATGTCTTTAGAGAAGTGTCAGCCTTGTTTTTTGGCAATGGAACTGGAAAATATGAAATTAGGCAGGCAGTGGTCAGAAGGAAAGATATTACAGGATAGTGCATAGTTTAAAACAGGATGGGGTGTGAAGTTAAGGAACACTGAGAATTAGATCCAGATAACAATTTAGTCCTTGATTGCATTGCTACTCAATGTATATTTATGCTATTTACAGATCATATTTTCTAGAGCTTGATGTTTAAACAAGACTATGTCGCTGAAGCATGTAAATGCTACTAAAGCTTGTTAATGTTTCGTGCCTTAATGTAACCCACGCGCTATTGATAGAAGAAATCAGAAAAGTGGTGAACAGGTCTTTATTCCGATCTTCGCGCAGTCACAGTGGAGCGTGGGATTATTTGTTCAGACAAAGCCCCTCAACATAAGATAATAGGAAATATAACGCCTATACAAAATAAGGAAGTGAATGAATACTTGAACAATATTGTTTTAGCATATACTTGGTTGTTTGGGGTCAATTCTTAACCAACCAACCTAAACTGTTACAAGTGGACCATCAAAGCTAATTAATATAGATGACCAGTTATTAGTATCGATCAAGTTAGTATGCTATGGGTTCTAACCAATATAACATTACGATAATACACGTGAACGCTAACCAGATGGCTAATGGAATATTGGGTTTACATAACTAAAAATCGATCGAGAATGTTCAAGTGAAAATAGGTATAAATAATAATAGGCTGCGTTTCTTTAGTCGGGCTTACCAATGTGGAATTATAGTCTACTATGATATTAGTAGTGCTCTAATAATATACTTTATCCTTAAATTGTACGTTTGTCATGATGTAATTGCCTAATCTATAAGATCATACGTGAATGTCACATCATTATCTAACCTGACACATTCGTGTTGTAACAATCATCAATATATGGGGAAGAACACATTTAGGCTGGAGGTAGAACAATATATTTAATATAGATAGAAGACTGTTACATAAGTAGGACCACGCTTGCAAGGTCGAGCCATGCCATCCGACCAATTCGAATTAATTGAATTAATTCTTCTCGCCTTCTCCATCGTTGGGTTTCCCTCCGCTTTAAATGTTGAATATCTATTTTCCTAGTTGTCTCGTGTTCAAATTTGAGGATTGCGTGGTTAGGCTGAAGCTTCATCGGAATATTTTAGTAAAGGGCTTTCTATCAGTAATGAGGAACTACTAACGACCTATTGTGATTGCGGTGGCTTGTTGATGAACCATATAGTTATCGAGTAAGATACTTTCTTAAAATTGTTTCAACATCTCAGACCTAAGAATTTCAGTGGTCCTGATGATATTCATCTTAGGATCAAGAAAGCCTTATCAAATGTAATTGCTGAACTTTTAGCGATGATGTTTGATATGCCTCTGCGGCAGTCCAGACTGCATTAGAGACTGGAAAGACACAATAATTAGTTCGATGTATAAGGCTGGGAATAGAGATTTAGTTAGTAACTATCAACCCGTTAGCTTAACCATTGCAGTTGTAGAATTGATGGAAAAAATTATTCCGATAGCTTTTATAAACCATGTAGAAGGGCCTAAGCTTTTATGCAAGAGACAACATGGTTTTCAGAGAGGCCTATTATGTTTTACAAATCTAATTGCAAGAGAAAATCGAAATATTCCTGTAGATGTGATTTTCATAGATCTAAGTAAATCATTTGGTAAGGTCTCCCATTCTGGTATTAAATCCAAACTAAAAATGTTTGGGAATCCATTATACAATCATAGACAGAATAAGTGACTTTCTCCATAGCAGGAGACAAAGGGTGAGAGTAAAAGGAGCTCTATCATCATAATGACATATAAAAAGTTGAGTTCCCCAAGATACGATCCACTATCTCTTTCTCTTTTTACTTTATGTAAATGAATTATCAACTGTAACGAAATCGTCCGTTCTACTCTTCGCTGATGACATAAAAATTTGGAGACCCATACACAGCATATCACATAGAATAGTATTACAGGATGATTTCAGCCCATTGGTGGCATGGATAGATAGGTGGTCAATAGAATTAAATCTTAACAGGAGTGTGGTGATGCAGTTGAATATTTACGATGATTCTTATCACTACACAATATGTGGATTCGTGCTACCCAAAGTAAGAAACTATAAAAACTTAGAAGTCATATTAAGCAATGATCTCAAAACTACCAGTCACTGCAAGGCTGCTGAAAAAAGGCTATAGGGTACTATGGTCTATTCGTAGTTCTCTCCAGCATTTAGATGATGAAATGTTTAGAGTATTATACCAGACTTTCGTGCGACCACATTTGAAATATGGGATTCAAGTATGTTTCAAGTATGAGCTGAATATGCTGGAACGCGTCCAACGACGATGGATTAAGATGGTAAAAGGCCTATCTAGCCTATATTATGAAGACAGAATGAGACAATAACTTATTTCTGTTATCTTACCGTGGAATACGGGGTGGTCTAATATTGACTTATCGTATACTGAACATGATCTTGGAATTAATCTGTCCTATATTTTCCTTCCGTCCAAAACTGATCATTTGCAAGGACATTCGAAGAAAGTCCAAAAACTGAGATCAAATAGTTTGCGTTTGGAGTTTCGTCTTTTGAACCGGGTAGGGAATAACTGGAATTCTCTACCAGAACATACAATATCAGTACCTTTTGTTGATATATTAAAAACGAGATTGAACATCCACAGTGTTACAAACTGCAAGATGTAATATAGGTCCATAGACCTCTCCTTATTACTGAGGAGTGAAATGCATGATTCACAAGATAGACATACACTGACTTGCAGACCGACACGAGACCCCGCTAATTTAGGTGTTTGCGTTACTTTCCTTTCTGTACAGATACGTAAGGCATGTTTCTTGTTTACTTGATTCTTTGAGAACTGCCTGATGTTTGATAGACTGCAAACTCATTTAATAGAGGCTTATTCCTCCCCACTATGGCATTTTTGCATGGAATATTTCCCGAACTATTTCCGAGTTTTATTTTGATTTCGCGGGAACAGATATAGGGTGAAATGAATTGCGAAAGATGGGAGTGCATCATTTCTAGTTAACTCTCATCTGCGTGTTAAGTTTCGCTGTTTTCTATATATTGACGGGTCTCGTCTAACAGGTTTTTAAGTATGGGTCACAGACCAGTTTGATCATGATCAACATATTCAATTACTTCGCTCGTAACTGCTTGATTAAGTATCTATGTTTGTATCGTATAAGTTTTTAGTGCAGTTGGTAGTTGATAAGTCTACCAATATGTCACCGGATTCGAGAACTGAATAGTCTGAGTGAAGTGCATAAATTATGAGTGAACGTTTTCGATGAATTCTGAACACAATCCGAACTAGTGGACTTCCTTAATTTGATCACAATTATTTCCGGCAATGAAAAATTGTAAACGCTGACGTAGTTGCAGATGCTACAGTTGAATTTTCAATCTGATTTGTTGTCCTATTATTTTTTTGTAATTGACTAATCCGGGGATGCTAAAGTATTTTTAGTATTTATGGGTTGTAACTCAATAGCTAAGATAATCCTTATGGATTTTCATCCATCTTAACCCAAAATTACACAGTAAATGTAACAGCAAGTCTAATTGGTGTACGAAGCAATGGGACTTAAGGTACCAAGTCTTGGATTCTGTCGCGAAGTTCATCAATCCATATGGGTAATTAATACATTGACATTATACCTGATGTTAGTTCGTGATTGCTTGTTAACCCGATTCGTTTGCCCATAAACACTGTCTACCAAATTACCTAAAAATCTTGAGCAAATATAACCTTCCATCCTTCCGTTGTTTAAAATAGTCTATTAAGTAGTTTCGGAGCTTAAATTTTAGTTGAAATTCACAATGGCCAGGTACGACCAAAATGAAACAACCTTTGAAAGTCAGTTAGTCAGAAATATGAATTTAACAGAGTTGTATATTTGTGAAATATAACACAAATGGAACCAATTAGTGACAGAACATTTTAAACAGACTAATTAAGTTGACTGTTTATTATATTTATAACTATTGCTCTACGTTGTATGGAGAAATCTGAACATTTTGGAATAGCGTTTTGTGATAGGAAACCAGTAGTTAAAAATCCAGCATGGTGGTGCGGATGATTTCTTCTTTTCATCTCTGTCCGTTTAGATATTTGCTTTTACTGTGAACCCTTGTTTATCCAAAGTACCTTTTCCAAAAACAATTCTGCTTGAAGATTTGCAAAGTATGTTAGTTTCAATTTATGTGTGTTCTTTCGTTGACTTATCTGTCTACAGTCATTCTTCATCTTGGGAATTGTTTTCTGTATTTACGTAAAAACGGTGTGAGATAAAAGTAAAAGTCTAAACTATCATAACTATGTTGTGAAAATCAAAGCGCTCCTGAAAAATATATCCCAAACACTACATACTACTGTATTATGTCTCTGTCAATTGTGTCATTTTTACATTGTTGCCAAATGTATTCCCCATGATATCTCTAATATTGAGTTCCAAGTTAATCACTAGTATTGTAAGTCATGATGAGTTGTTGCCATCTACAACCTTATTTGTGTGCACGGCCTAATCATGTAACTACTTGATATTCTCTGAGCAGATTTTTGACTGATCCTTGTTTTCTAAGCCCTAAAGTTCGTTTTAAATATTACGTTCTTGTAGATATACGGACATGTAATTAAACATGGGCCGGAAAAGTGCTGCTCTTTCTTGTACACCAAGGCGTTCTACTCGACCAGTTAGGTCAACCGATGAGGTCCAAACACCTGAAAATAAGAAGTCGGTTAATCCAGCCAAAAAGTCAAGTCAGTTGACCACAATCGAGGAAAGTGCTTTCAGTAGCAAAGATGAACATGTATCCGCTTTGAACAAGCATACAAAAAGGCGTAGTAAACGAATTCGTTCAAGAGTAGGAACACAGAAACCAAGTCTTAGAGGAACATTGGGTTTGGAGAAAAAAAGTGAATTGTTCGGGGACGATAAAGAGTTATCGACAGATCGCCACTTTCAAGATGAGTGTAATGACAGCGATTCAAGTGATTTCGTATCCCAGTGCTCAAGTGTCGAAAGACCTAAAAGCAAGAGAAAAGGCAATTTGCGTTTGTTTTCAGAATTCAAGCCCAAGAATGTGGCTAAAAAACGAAGTAAACCATCGAAAAACGTTAATGTAGTTGAAAATTTTCAAAGTATTGTAAATAATGATTCAGACGACGAAACAGAATGGGTTGAAGTAGATGATGAGCCAACAAATGAATTAGATTTCATGCATAACCTTTTGAATTTCAGTTCAAATACTGTACATGGCGAAGATGGAGAAAAAAAACCTGCATCACTAACTGTAGCTATCCCTCTTGATAGTCTCGCTAAAAAACATTCTAAACAAGATCCAAAACTTCTCGAGTTACTTGCACTAAAACGCAAACTAAAAGAACATTACACATTGATGCATTCAGTTCATGTGTTATGTTTTCTTGCTCATAGTCGTGTGGTAAATCGAACTTGTGACAGTTCCTTATGTTGGGCTTTAGGTATTTCACTTTTGGCTAATACAAATGCAGTGTACAATCAAAAAACAAAACAGTTTATCAGATTATCATTGTGGTCAATTGAACATATAGAGGCATGTCTTGTTTCATTGTTGTCTTATCAAGGAATGGAATTATGTACTGAAAATAATTCATGCGGTGATTATGAATACCAGCTTGTTCGTCGTCTTTCAGAGTCGAAATCAACTGAAGGTGATTGTATCATACTACTTGTTGCAGCTCTTCGTTCTCTTGGATTCGATGTACGAATAATCCTTGGTCTTCATCCAATACCTTTATTACCTAGTGAACCAGCGACCAAAATGCTTACGTCTAAAACTAAAGAAATTAAAAGTTCCAATAAGGGAAAACATAATCGAAAAATCATTTCTTCAGATGAAGAAGACATATTTGATACCAATTTTGATCATCATTATTATAATGAAAATTCAAAATCCAGCATCACTCTATTTGCTGAAGTATTTCTGCCAAAATTGAATCGTTGGGTATGTATTGATCCATCATCGCCTACAGGTGTTGTGGATAAAGTGAATTTTAAACATGGATCTTTATATGTTGTCGGTGCTTGTTCTGTCCGATCAGCGAGTCCTGAGTTAGTATCTTATGTTGGTAGAAATCCAGTTGACCTGTCTTCTCGTTATGTTCAGGATTGGTGTGTTTCTGCTCGTACTCATCGCATTCCTGCTGAGAAGTGGAGTAGTTTTCTTGATATACAAAGTAGATTTTTTGATAAAGATGCCGTTGAATATGATGCTTTAGTTTCTAAGTTAAGTGCAGTCCCAACTTTTCAACGAGATAAAAAAGATAAAGATTCTATTCAAGAAAAGCTTTTATCTGAACCTCTACCTAAACGTATGCAAGACTTTAAGAATCATCCATTGTATGTTCTCCAACGCCATTTACTTAAATTTCAAGTTATTCATCCACCTGATTCAATCCCCTTGGGATATTTTCGTAATGAACCGGTTTATTCTCGTGATTGTCTTCATCTTTGTCATACCAGAGAATCATGGTTGAAAGAGGCTATGGTATGTTCACAACACTATTGTTTTCAAGAAAAATACATTCCTATATGTCCTCGAAAATCTTTCCTTCCGCAAATCCATATTCTATCCCTCATCTTTCCTATTATCACTAACTACATATAATACACTAGAATCTCTGTACTGATGCAGTGTTGCAACTTGAGTCGATGAACTTTTTCCAGATTATACGTTCCAAACAACTATGACTAAAGAAGAATATTAATGGAAAAAGTTTCTGAAATATGACAGAAAATCGCCTCCTAAATTGTTTTACTTCTTAGATACTTGATGGTTAACTGTGGAATTCCAATTCATTGGCCATGTGTACTAAACTTTTAGCCGAGCCTAGAAATATTTCTTTGCTGTTAAAACTAAATTAAATTAGACTGAATATGATCTCTACACCTTACGATCAAAAGTCACTTGGTTATATCACAGTGATTATCTCACAAAACTCACCCGAAAGCCAACGGGTTACATAAGGATATCGGTCAGTCAGTCTGCTACAGCGTAGGGCCAAACACATCGGTCCAAGTTGCCATACCTCATTAACACAACAAGATGAACACCAAATCCATAGAAGTAGTTAATTCAGTGGTGGTAATATATAAAAGATTGCATATAAGTATGTGGTACAGGAAGAAAGAATTAGTTCGTAGAAAGGAAGATACGAAGTGGTTTTAATCTCATAGTTTAAAGGAAGATAAAGAGTGTATACACCGACGCCATTGTGATCGATTCTGAACCATGTCACCCAGAGTTACACGGACCCCAAACAAGTAGTCTGCATCTACCAACATGGTTCAGATTAGAAGTTAGTGACTCCAAGGCCTGATGCCACGTTTTGTTTTGGCCGCCCCTATCTTTCTTCCAACCATTCTTACCAATGGTGTCAGCATTGCGCGTCGTGATAATCGGTGTTCAGGCATACGCGACACGTGGCCCAACCATCTTAGTCGATGAAGGTTTACAACCTCATCAACTGATTTACCATCATTCCTCTAATAACCTGCGTTTAAGCCTGCTATTACTTACCCGGTGATCCCAGCAGATGCGAGCAATATTTCTAAGACCATTGTTGCTACCTTGACGTGGTGGTCGGGCTTACCTATCGTGCTGAACCAATCGATCTATACTGGCTGGAACAATCGTTCTTCAAGGTCCTACTATGCCAGACAGGTCGGTTGAAGAGCGATAAGACTAAAAGCAGCAAACCCGAGGTCTCAGGGCAAAGTCGTGCTGCTGACTGTACAGAGGTGTTACGGCAGTAAGATGTTTCCTCCAGACAACCAACATAACAGCGATGCTGCCTTCTCACAAGGAGGGGTGGGGTTATAAAAGGTCGACCCTAAAAATGCACACATCTTCTTGTCCCACGGATATCCGTCTCCGGCAGCAAGGTACGGAGCTAACACGAAAATTACCCACAAAAGGGTCGTGTGTGACCGACCTCAAGCAGTTGTCCTTGGGTACTATGGTCATGCTCCCAGGTCACTAAGACCACCCGTAACCCAATTTCCTTTTCAGGTACCTCCAGAATAACTCTTCCACAGTGTGGGCAACCGGGAAGTGATAACCGCCCTCATACTTCCAACAACACTCAAAACCACTGTATTCATAATCAACCTTCTTTGATAAGGATATTAACCTTGGTACAATCTGAATTTCACAAACCCATCGTTGTAATTACGTTTACTTCGTTTGTTAGTCATCAATACCCGTACTTACATCTACAAAGGCGTCTAGTCATCAGTAATGTATGTCAGCCCATCATTTGCCTTAACAGGTTATGCTAAACTAGGGCAGGACTAAGTTTGTTAAAGCCCAAACTTTGAAAGAACATGATATTAACACTAACCGAAGAATTGTGTTAATATGTAACGGTTTTTTAGTTATTTAGAAGTTGGGATAATAATGTTTTTGAAGCGAAGTGTCATATTGGATCAAATGTTAAAATAACCCATGGTTGTGTAATTGGTGCAATGTGTTCAATGGATTCTGGTGAAACATTACAAGAATGTACTGTTGTATACAGTGACGAAGTGAGTATTATTAAAACTATCATTTTTACTATGTATATCATTCATAAATATCATCTGCATAATAATAATAATAATAATAATAATAATAACAATAATGTATATTTGCATTATAAACTATTGGGCACATATCTTCAACCATAAAGGATTTTTAATATTTATACTCTTACAATTTCTTCGTCACATAATTCATGTGCCAAATATGTGACATTGTTTGGTTTCTATATTTCGCTTTACGTCGGTAGCTTCTAGTGTTATTTTGTCTCATTCTGCCAAGAAGAGTATGCAATTGAAAGTTATAATGTTATGATAGAACTCAATTACCAAGTACAGATTCTTGTGCTCAGCTTTAAATCATATTTTGTATGTGACTGTTGGTGATACTACATCATTACTACATGTTCCATGTGCTCTTCTAGTTAGTTGGACATCTAGAAACGATATTGTTATATCTAGAAGGTTGTTCTTGATATACAACGTATAAAGTGAACACTAAAACACCAGAACCCTTCCAAGTCGCAATAAGAAGACAAAAGACTAATGAAAGGAATATTATTCCCAGACAGTGTCAATTATAGTACAAAATTGTCAAGTATTTATAGTTTTTAGTACGAACGAAATCATCATTACAGTCCACCAATCCGCATACAGGGGGTTATTAGCATTGTCCAATCGGGAAGCTACACGTAGGAATTCTAGAATATTCTTGCAAAGGTGGTTGGATGGAGTATCTTCGACTCCTTCTGAACCTCCTACAGTTTCCTCGAGTTCACCCGTGGTCCATCGTCACAGATATGCTATTGTTCTGTTCTTCTTCTAGTGTAAAAGTAACTGATGAATGAATGTTATTAATTATATTAAGAAAATTCTCCTTGTCATATTCTTTTTCTAATATTATGAAATTATCATCTATATAGTAACAACAAGATGTTAGATGGCTAATTGTGTCTTTAAGTGGTCCATTTTACTGTGCAGCGTGTTATATGGTGCGTACAATTCGGCAAGCTCATCATCGTATAACAGAACACCATTCGTCGTGGTTGACCAATGGACAAATAAGAGTGATTAAGAGTTCTATTCTCGCTCACCTGGTGGACACATGTCACTAAGTTGAACCGAATAAAGCTTTTAAGGTCATCCACCATATTCCATGAAATTAGCTGCATGGTTTACGAGTTCGTCTTTTGCATATTGCTGAAGCCATCGCAATCCATGTTCACAAACCAAACCTTTGCATCCAAAAGAAGTTTGTACAACCACTCTCGTTACCTTGATCATCAGTATAGGGGAGTTTGTAGCAGAACATTGATAAACTAATTTCGTATTTCTTCCATTTTTTTGTATTTTACTTATTCTCAACATTCGTCTCTTGATTCTTACGTAACTCTATAGTACTGACCATTCATCGAAATATTTGTTAGTTCCTTCTTCTCTCTTTACATATTATGCAATGTAGCAACTGCTCGACGTTCGAATAATTACTTCCAATTACTCAATGTTAGTTTATGATCGATATGTCATTATATAATTATTACATAACGTATCCACTCGATGAGTATTGTATATATATTAGTGTAGAGCCACAATGAAAAACTAATTGGAAAGAAATTTCTTTCCCCAATTTGTTCCTTCTTTATTTACCAAACATCAAAATGGGAATTTTCACTATATTAAAAATATGTTCAGATTACTCAATTTTATGTAAACCAAGTGTTTTTAGTAGAAAGTGGCTAGTCATAGGAAAGAAAAGAGAAACATAAGTTCAGATACAGCAATTTTAATGATTGACGAAGTGCAACACGTTCTTCTGAGTACAGTTTGTTGTTGTCTTTAAGGAAAGTAACATCACAACCAGCTAGCTACTCAGGTCTTAGTGGTTACCATCGCTGAACATCCAACAAGTGAATATCAGGGTCCTTTTAATGGTTCGATATGACCACGTAATTCTAAAAAATGTTTTGATAAAGACACCGTATAAATAACCCTTATGCACTTGATATAATTGCAGAAAGGGATCTAAAGTTAGAAAGGCTCTAATTCATATACTTTACTTATTTGTATCTTCCGATTGATGTTTAGGACTGCAATTGATTAATCTCTTCTGGTATATAAGCATCCTATGCGGATTGCCTTGATATCACCATTAATTTATAAGCATTTTAAACCGAGACTGATCAGTTACAATCTCAAACATCAATAGGAAAATCCAAACAAACAAAACAAAATAAATTAAACTTCATCCATTTCACAAGCTAATGGCTATATAGACTCAACAGCTAGTTGGATAACATGATGATTTTTGAAGCGAAGGACAATGTTTTGGAGTCCCGCAGTGAACGTCAACTCTATGATGCATGTAAATTTGGCGAATAAGTCCTAAATTAAACGAAACGTGCGTCCTGTATTCCACTACTTTTCTGATTAGAAGGGTTCTAAATCTAAAAACCAGTCATTATATGTTGTATGATCGTTCACTAAACAATCTATCCAACGTCATTACTGATTACAATAACTTGACAAAATAAAATATCCCTCTGACCCAATTACATTCAGTTCAGCGCGTCATTCATCCTGATTTTGATCAGTGATTACACAACTGCCTTTTTTGTATCCAGTCGAGAACAATCGGTTTAACTATATTTTATACATACGTATTTGGTTTTATCATTTTCTTCACTCAACATTTTTCTTCTGATATTTGTCTATAAGATCCTATGTGAATAGTGTTTACTTTCATAAAGTGATGATTTACATAGTAAAGCGTTGAAAATCAGGCCGCGCAAGGCAGCCATTTCGCTTGTTTGAAATTCTTCACTAAGTTTGAGTATTTCATATTCCGTTCAATGTAAGACAGTGAGTAAGTACTGTTGGACGGGTTAACAGTATATCTTCCTTTACCAGTGTGTAGGTGATGTCTCCTCCTTTTGATGGCGAATGCTTCAACGATTCAGAGTACATTATTTTATGATGATTACGAAATTACTTATTCTTCAACCTAATTGCTTGTCACTCTTCGTAGAACATGTGCATATGAACATGTACATATGAATCCAGTTGGATTTACTTTGGTTATTTCTACATTTATATGTTCTGTTCTTGATGTATTATTAAAATTAATGAAAAGAAGTAAATACTTTTATAACACAAATATCATCTAAGTTACCATTTGGAAACCTGTTCCACCCAACTCGGTTTAAACAACGGAACGATATCATTAATACCGTATAAAGAAGGTGTGGTCCATAGTCGAACACGTAAACTTTTACATAATTATGGAGTTAATTCACAACAAAACTTGAAAAAGTCAAACTTAATAATTATCTTAAATTTAACCAACAATATAACAAATTGTATTCGAAACATTCAGTAAATATTATTGTTTCTCTACAACTGATCGTTGAGTAGTAACCAACTGATTGTAAATATATCAACTCCTATAGGGTGTCAATCGCTGCTCGAATAGCTTAGCAGTGATGTCTAAAGCTATGAAAACTGGGTGATCTGGGTTTAAAACCACCAAGAGGCATCAATTTCCTGAGGACTGCAGATACGCCTTACCATTGAGTAGCAACTAGCACGAGAACTAGGTTTAACGTTCCTTGCCGACTACTTTCATACATTTAACGTTATTATTTCCTTGTTTAACACATTTGACGAACAAACTAAGATAGAACTACACTATCATATGGTCTACATTCATTTTTCTTACATTAATGCGAATCACTAAATAGCATTGTAGGGAATCGTTTCAAAGCCATAGAGCAGTGTTTTAGCTAATAGACATTAACGACAATACCAGTCAGTCATCAACATGGACTCGGTTACAAGTGTCCGCGTATATTTGTCCAAATGACCTCACCTCAAATCAACAAAATTAAAGAAGACAAATAAGATGAAAAGTATAGAATGAAAAATTATATCGAAATGAAGGAGGATTTAAATATCCTAAACAACATTCAAAAGGATTCGATCGCAAGATGGAACTATAAGAGTAAAACATCTTTATAACACCAAATTGTTTAATAATAAACCTAGTAAGTCATTAATTAAATAGATTAAGGAAAATAAAAAATTTTCGTTAGTTTTTGATATGATGGAATAAAAAGATGACATTATTTGACTCAGTGTTTTTTTGCATTAATTCATTAGAGTTTTGGCGGTGGTGACAGGGGCCAAATTTGTTCAATGTTGTATTTTGAGGTCAATATTCTCGTGTGTCAATTTAGTATTAACTTTGTTCTAGATAACAATTGTGAACTCTCGTTCAGTTTAACAATTTTATTCCCTGTATTAATTTAGACGAGTTGTATTTACACTAACTCCATGCAATACTATTAAATGTTTGTGAAATTTAGTATATAAATGATTTTAATATGGTCTAAGGATGATATGATTTTGGGACTTTTTTGGAAACGTGTTTTACTAAGTCAATACATCTACATTGCACCAGTCTTTCATATTTTCACTTTTCATCCCCCCCCAAATGCCCTGGTACGGCCGAGAGTGGGGAGAGTCCGCTCTCCCTCTCGAAATACTCTCACACGGCCACGCGTATATAGCCTCTGCCAGGGAAGTCCTACTCACTGCCTTCTCGTGGCGGGGGTGTTGTTTACGAAAATGAGAGGACGAAAAGCGAATGTCCGGCGCTTTAACCGGATCCTAAATCAATGGTGCACATGGGCCCCAGTATCCTGCGGAAACATATGGCGTACGAACCAAATCTTTGGTCAACGGCCATCGTGGGACTGCATCTCCCCACGATGCTCCACTGCCTTGTGGATCAGACCTTCAGGTCGAAGGCTCCGGGTGCGGCCCTCTAAGAAAACCACCTGCTTCGGTTTGGGCACCCGGGCAGTATCACAGCCCTCACACATATCGAATGAGATTTGTGTGGCGCATATGTATTTGGTGCCTCTTTGTACCATTATCTATGTGTTGAAATAAATAAATAAATAATCCTGGGAATTATAGTTCCCGTTTTCCAGTGTAAGCACTCGGATTGAGGAATTTCAGTGGTTCCCAATTGTAAAATAAAAACAGTAAGGATACAAATTCAACAGAGTTGATACGCACATAACAACAACGACTCTGCAGATGTAACAGTCGACTGTACATTAGTGTCGATGGAGCCAATTTTACAGTTATAACAATTTGTTGTTTCTGAAATAAGCCTACATATTTATATACTTTATCTTAAGTGTTTTTTAGGAATATATTTCTATTTGTTTTAATTTCTTTTAGGGTCATCGTCGTATTGCAACTGAACGTCCAGCTGCACAAACATTACAATTAGATTTTCTAACAAAAATTCTACCAAATTATCATCATTTAATGAAAGTTAGTCGAACTTCCACACCAAAGCCAACTGAAAAATAATAACATATTCTACATTTGTTTGTTTCTTTCTTTATTCTCGTTTGTAACTGACTTATTTGAAATGTTATACAAAATAGGTGGAATGTTTAATAAATATAATCTCCTTTTAAACTTATTTGTTAATTTTGAAATGGTATCTTTTTTCTTGCCAATATACACTGAACTGTGTTATTGACGGTGTAAAGCAATAGATCTGTACAAATAAATATTAATATTGTTTGGTTGTTGTTGTGTTTTTTACGGTATATTTTTGGTTACTTAGTCAATAAACAAACAAATAATTCATATCAGGAGGATTTTTGTAAATATTATAGTAATTTCAGTGGTTGAGATCATGAGTCAACTGAAGCTAGACCACCATGGAAAACCTGGAAGTACCGAACGGCGTTTCGTCCTATTAAGGTTCGAACCTCGCGAGGTGGGATCGTAGATGCGCACTACTGAGGAGTCCTACAATATGACGAAATATTCATCCAGTGCTCCCAGGTTTTCCATGATGGTCTAGCTTCAATTGACACATGATCTCAACTACTGAAATAAATAATCCACATATTTTGTCAATTGTCTTTTCTTTTTACTAATTTAAAATTATTTGATGTTCAGTGAAATGTAATTATTGAACTATGGATATTTCATTGTCGAATAGAAAGATTTAGATTAGCATAATTAGTGTGGTAGTTTACATTACCGTCTAGTCTTTTGAATGAATGAATGAATAAAACTTGTTCCCTTCTTTATTTCAAAGCCCGTGAAAAGATATTTCATGCACAAATTAGTTCTATAATGAAGAATTGTCATTCTTCATTTCCCTTAAGTAACTGGAAGCTGACTAATTAATGCACTTATTAAACTAAATGACTTTAATTCATAGTTCTTGGCTGATAAAAAAGAAGCTAATTTCGGCAAGAAGAAAAGGGTGTTGCTCTAATTATATCCAGCTAATATATAGTGGTTATAGAATTCTTATCATTTATGTACAGTAGTATATAGAAATTTTTTCGTTCTTGTTGGTTTTGTTATTCCGTCGAATCTAGTACCCGTTCGTATTTCTCCTACTATGCTTTAAATGCAATAGATAGAATGGTATTAGTTTATTTGTGAGATATTCTTGTCATATTAAACATTGTTCGTTACTTACTCTATGGCGTTTTATAGAGACTGTTGAGTTTCCTAGGTTGTTTCACCAACTTATCAAAGTTAGACATCCATCGGAAATCCAGGAGCGTTGGACAACTGTTTCGTCCCATTATGGGACTCCTCGGTAGCGCGCCTCTATAAACCCATTGGAAGGTAAACCCAAACCTTTGAGTCTCTCGGTGATTGACTGGTCTCTAAAACACTGAAACGAGATACCTGAAGACTATCAGCATAATCTTCGATGAAGTCACAGACTCACACCACTGAGGAGCTCCACAACAGGACGAAATCGCTATCCAGTGTTTCTTGGTTTTCAATAGATGTTTAGTTTGTGGCTACATTCATTAGTTTGATTATTAAGGTTTCGAATGCTTTTATTAAGTCACAGGTTTTTTAATTTTTGTATATCAAAAAATATTTAGATACTTATATAAAACGTAATGAATACTCGACTCATACCAGATGAAACTATATCAGCTTTACCTGGAGAAAGTGGAAGTATTGCTGAAGCAATTGGACCCGTTGAAGGATTAGCACAACCATCCTCAGGAGAAACGGTAGATCGGCGTAATGCAATCGCTTTAACTGCAGCTTTCAATTTCACTGGTACAACACCATCAGCTAATGGCGCAACCATGCAAGAATACTTTGTACAAGTTAGTATTTCTTTAGCAATTTTTCAAAATTCCTTTTTTAGTGTAGCATTTCAGGATCAATTACTAACTTATTAGGTATAATGACATAAATCGAGCTCGTAATTACAATGATCATTCAGCAGAAACAAAACAATCATAAAGCAAAGACTATTAGATGTTTTCAGTAATAGACAACGTTGTCAAACATTAAACAAATATATAGGAGAGGAGTCCTGCGTCGCGAGGCGGGATCGTGGATTCGCACTGTTGAGGAGTCCCATACTAGGACGAAACGGTCGTCCAGTGATTCCAGGTTTTCCATGGTTGTCCAGCTTTAATTGACATAAATTCAACTGCGGCTTTTTAATGCCTTAATTAAGTTGTCTCTACATAATGAGAAGATAATACTACTAACTAATTATTTACTCCGTAAGCTGAACACACATGAAGAAATACTCAGCTTTTGTAATTTTCTTATACAATGACCTATTTTATAGCTAATATATTCTTCTAAAATACATACGCACTAATCCCGATGTTTGAGAGAGGTTATATATTACATAACTATACAAATTTCATAAATAAATAAAACTTTTTATCCTTTTTTTCAATCTCAATGTTCAATAGACAGTGGTTTCATCTCCTATTCAACATGAATTATTATTGAATCGATTGCATGGTTTATGCCGTGAATGGACAGATTTCTGTGATCAAGAAACTATATTCGAAATAGGAAGTGATAATCGAACTGATACAAATAACCTTATAGGTATGAACAGATCATCTGGAAATACATCCGCTGCAGTTGGCGTCTTAGCTGCCACTGCATCAGGTAGTGCAACTGTCACTATACGTGTTCGTCGAAGTCTTTTGAGTACAGTAAATAAACCTGGTCGAGAATTTTCTGTTCTACGATATTTAGGAGCCGTAGAAACTGATAAAATAGTAAGTTTATATATATCAGTGAAAATATCTATTATGCAATTAAAAATTGGATTTCGGGTCGTGCTTAAACTTAATTACATAACATACCTACTCTTAAGGTAAATTGTTTGTTAAGGTACATGATGTCGTTCATTGTGTAATTAAGACTGTTTAGTAAAGCTAGATAATGTTCTTCCAATCTTACTTTCACTCGAAATCTTAACTCTAAGTTCCACAGGTTTGTAAACTGAAAGATAGTAAGGTATTATAGCCGATGTCAGTTCGTGTTAAAAATACTGATCTTAATTTGTAGACCTAACTCAAAATTTCAATTTAACACTTAACCTTTTATCCATTATAACGGATGGCAGTTGGTGACAAAAAAATTTATGGTGTGATCACCTAACTCACAACATTAACCCGACTCTCAGTACGTATAGGTGTAAACATGACCTTTTTCTGTACTACAACGGAAAATTTAACTTGTGTGCGTTAATTATTACGATGAAATCCGTTATTCCATTACTTTGTATTGTCAGTGGTTTTATAACTAAGTGGCATTTCCTGATCGGCTAATAGGTCTCCCAAGGTCTTCAGTATATTATGTGATCGTTAGTGGGCACGACTAAAGAGTCCTAAACTAGGATAAATCAGCTGTTATGTACATCCGGGTATTGAGTGATACATCAGCCAATAACATAACCATTTAAAGACTAATCTTCATATATCTGTCAACCATATGATATTATTACATTGAAGTATGTAGGAATAGCGTAATTATAATTTTTATCGGAAAAACTACTTAAAAAGGAATAAGAAATTTACTTGAACAACCGATGATTAACAGTCGTCGGTTTGCAAAAATAATTTAACGTCTCCGGTCAACTGTATCCTCTACATACAGATGACTAGGATAAGTATAGTTGCGCAACATTTGAACAGATGACACAGAATAATAATTGGTCACATGCACATATGCGTACCGTATATGCTTCGATTTCATTCTTCACGGGTTTTTTTTACTGTAGTTAGCTCTAATACTTATAAGTTTACCTGTTGTCATGTACACTCAGGTTGTAAGTAAAGTTATGTCTGGTTAAAAAGAAAACACTATCAGGACTTTTGATTAAGCTATTCCGCTTGTACGAAATTTCAATCTATTGATTACATGTCGTTTTGTAATTGTTTATTTAGACCAACCGTATCATTGTATGCGCATATTATTACAAATATGTGTGCTGATTGATAGTTGAAACTAGTTTTTTTTCTGATTAGGCTCAAATATTGACTAGCTAGTGGGTAATCAGTATTTCATAATTAATAACCCCTGTCCCAACTTTTCCAGTTGCTTTACGTCGATTAACCTCAACACTATCTCCTTAAATTATTCTTCTTCTTAACTGATGAACGTCGACTACCGTTCTCATCTATAAGCTTTTGTTTTCATCATGAGGACTTTAGAACCAATATTCGGCTATACATTCACTAAATAGACCTTTGGTTCTTTTCTGTTACCGTAGGAGTCAATTGTGTGTGGACATAATCCTAGCAAAGCTTGGTATTGCGTGATGGCTAAATAGGTTAACATCTGAAGGTATTTTAAATAAGAGAAATGGAAATATGACAGTTTTATTGTTACGAACTGAGAGTATTTTGATGTGCCTTAAGCTTTGTCACATCATTCTGTTTATTGCTAAACATGCTACTTATCTCATTAAAGCATCAAAAATGTTTTAAGCACAGATGGATAGAGGATAGCAGTGGAATTCAGGACGTGTGTTTCATCCTATTCGAGCTTCAGCCGGATGCACCTGCCTCCCGGAGTTGATGTTCATTCCGGGATTCGAACCCGGTATCAGCCGATTCAAAATTCATCGCAATCTCATTGTTAACCACAACCTATTTCTGCTTCAATTATTTTTAACGTAATGGTAATATCAAAGCACTTCGCACAGGATGCCTGTTTACCCGAAGAAACTGATCAATCGCTGTTCTAAACATCAATGGGAAGATACAAACAACCAATATATATGGATTAAAAGAATTAATCTCTTATGACAACTAACAAATACATATGACATAATGAGATTCACTAGCTTCTAGCATTTACATTCTATCGACCTTTTCTCAGACAACATCGTTTATTATTGGTCAAAAGTACTTTTATAGTTTATCATTTTGTAATGGTATTTCATGTTTTTGCATTATTTTTTTCTCATATCACTTCTCTACCATTTTTAATTACGATTTCAGATTTTACGACGTAGTTGTCTTGAAATGCCGGTTACTGGACCAATCGTTAGT